GACAAGAAAGAAGGGAAGAGGAACCACAATAAAGGAAAAAAATTACTTATGTAATGTGACATTTCTCAGAGAAATATTATATATGCAGGAAGGAATGAAAGTTGGAACATCCATTTATCTGTTGGGTTTTGATTGCTGCATGAAAGAAAATGGGTGTTAAAGGGGTCATATGATGCGATTTCAAGCTTTCCTTTCTCTTTGGAGTGTTACAAGCTGATTGAATGCACCAGAATTTGTGATGTCAGCTAAAAAGGAAAGTCATTTTAGAAACAAAACAAGTTATTACATTTTGACTAAAGACATGACCATTTTGTCTATTTAGAACAACATAAACCAACAAATCATTCAACAAGACCAAGTAAATAGACTAGATTTTGATTTCAAGTCAACTTTAACTTGTTAGATCAGGTACAAGCTCAAAACACAGATCAGACACAGGCCTAAGGACATCAGACTGTGATTTACATATTACCAAACTCTGTCTCAACCCCAAACAATCTCAAGCAAAGAGTGGAATCTGATTGCTTGCGTTTGACAGATGATTGCTTCTACGCCTTGAGCTGTTCTTGTGTCCAATCTGTCATAGAGAGGGACTATATCAGTTTGAAGATGTTGTGAAACACACTAAAACCCAACAACTGTACAGTAGTTTAATGCCAGCAAATGAGGCTACAGGATGGAGAGCATGGTCGAGCAACTCTGATACACTCGCAAGAGAGCAGACAGGTACGGCATCTGAAGGTAAGTTTTATTACATAATCTTATGGTGATTGGTAAAAAAAAGGTATGGTTTCGCATGCTTGAGTTTGAAATATTATGGACAGGTGATAGGCTCTGCTCAACTAAAAATAACTCACAGGACACAGGTGGCACATCAGGTAGCAACCTTGCTGGTGTTATAAAACCACAAAACATGTTGTGAACTAATTTGTTAAAAGATTACACAGTTCACAGTTTATAATGAAAATAATATGAACGATTTAAAGGGAAAGCTCACAAATTCTGGCATAATTTTATTACCCTCGTGTCTTTTTAAACTTGTATGACTTTCTTCTGCAGTACTTTAAAAAAGATTTAGCATTGGTTGAGCTAATCTGGCTGCATCAGGCTGGTATTACTTTAGGATTTATTTATTTATTTATTTATTTGGGGGGAGGGGGGGTTGGATCAACGTGATTCATTTAAAAGATCTGACTCAAATGAATCATTCATTCATGAATAGGATGTCACGGACGGAACATGCCAAAAAGAAATAGGTCAAGATTTTAGGAAAAATCAACTTAAATCTCATCTGTTCATCACATATTGCCTGTATTTATCTCCATGAAATGTTGTAAACGTGTCATATGAACTACTTTTATGAGGTCATTTTTGTGTTCTATTTTGAGGCTTAAACTCAGGTCACTGTCCTCAAGACAGTTAACACAGTCCAGGTTGTGGACTGGACTGTGACTGTTGATAGTACAGATTCTTAGTCTTAGTCCAAATATAAATGAAATGCAAGATCAGTAATTCAGGAGAATACAGTGGTGGCCAAAATTATTAGAACACTAGTATTTTCACCAGCTAAAAAAGTATATATATGTGGGTTGTTGACGTGACATGGCATTTTCACTGTCCCGCAAGATAAAAATGAATATAATTAATATTGTCGTTATTTAAAATGCAGTAAATCATGAAACATTTATTTGTCCTACATGGACCTGTTGTTATAAAAGCTGCAGTGTTATTAGATTCTTTACATTTTTGAGCCAAATCTCAAAATTGGTGTGACTGTCTCAAGCATGTTACTGTCACACCATAGGACAAAGATGTCACGCCAGAGGACAAGGTCTCTTTAAAAAGCATTTAAAATAATGAAATAAGATTTGTTTTACTCCTTTTTATTCTTTTTTTTTTATCATTTCCAGTGTTCTTAAATGCAATAATTACATTAATTAAACTATTTGCTGATGTTTTTGCAGAAAACTTGTACTGGTATAAAGTGTCATGAAAATAAGTATAAAATGTGGTACTTTGTTTTTGAAACAGAAAGAATTGAGGGAGAGAAATTACTGGAAGAGAGGACAAGGAAATATAATAATTATAATTTATAATTAATAATAAGTTATGCATTTAGCAGACGCTTTTATCCAAAGCGACTTACAGTGCATTCAGGCTATACATTTTTTACCAGTATGTGTGTTTTCTGGGAATCTAACCCACAACCTTTTGCGCGGCTAACGCAATGCTCTACCACTGAGCCATAGGAACATGAAATATAGACAGAAAATTAACAGGGATCCACCAGAAAGGAGGAGATCCTAAGAGAACGATGCAGAAAGTAAATAGAATCAAAATGATGCATTACAAAGAGTAGCCACATAGTTTTCAAAAATTCATTCACATCTTAATGAATATAGTTTGAACATCAATCATATTTAGCTGTGCCACACATGTAGCAGGGGGGCTAGAAAAGTTTCAGTAACATACTGATTGACTAAGAGACTGACTTTTGTTGATGAAAATAATTTTTGTTTTGTTTAAAAAACATGTTGATATTGTTTGTATCAAAATTATTTGACATGTTCAAAATTAAATAGAA